TGTTTGAAAATCATTAAGCGATCGATATCTGATTCTATTCTAGGTGCCATCCCTGATAATGAAAATGCCAAAAGTTTTATGGATGCCATAGGAGAAAAATTTATTGAGTCTGATAAAATCGAAACTGGGGATCTGATGGATAAATTTATGAACATGAAATATGATGGCACAAATGGTGTTAGGGAGCATGTCATGAAAATGATAAATATATCATCTAAGCTAAAGGCTCTTGACATTCCCATTGCGGAGCCTTTCCTAGTCTATCATGTTTTGAATAGCCTTCCTAGCAAGTCTAATCAGCTTAAGGTTGCTTACAATGCTCAGCGGGATAAATGGAATTTGAATGACCTCACAGCAGTGTGTGCCCAAGAAGAGTATAGGATGCGTCGTGAAACTGTTGAAACTGTGCAATTAGCTTTTAGCCATCACAGAATAAGAGGCCTTCTCATAATCATAAACCTAAGTTTCGTAAGGGTAATAAGTCCCACCGAAGTCAACAGAATAAAAATTTTAGTGGTCCCAAAGGAGTTATAAAGAAAAATGATCAATACAAATTCTGTGAAAAGAAGGGTCACTGGCAGAAAGACTGTTTTAAGTTCAAGACTTGGTTGGAAAAGAAGAAGAGTTCTTCAGGTATTCCCTTGGCCTTAGTTTGTTTTGAGTCTGCTTTAGTAGATGTACCTTTGAATTCTTGGTGGTTAGACTCGGGAGCTAGTATTCATATTGCGAATTCCTTGCACGGGTTCATAAGCAAACGGAGGCCAAGTGAGAATGAAGTGAGCTTGAGCGTTGCAAATGGATTCCAAGTGAATGTTGAATTCATAGGAGTAGTGAAGTTAACTTTAGAATCTGGTTTTTATCTTGTTTTGGAAAATACAGTTTATGTACCGCAGATGAGACGAAATTTAATTTCTATACCAAAACTTGATACTTGTGGTTTTACATTTAATTTTGGTAATGGAATGGTTAAGTTATTTAATGATTCTCGTTTGATTGGGAATGGTATTTTATGTGATGGTTTATATAAATTATCTTTGGCTTCTTTTGGTGATGTCTCAATCAGTGGACCTTTGCTTTCCACTATATGTGGGAATAAATATTTCATAACTTTCATTGATAATTTCTCACGATATGGATATGTTTATTTGATTAACGACAAATCACATGCACTTGAGAAATTCAAAGTTTTCAAACTGGAAGTAGAGAAACAATGTGGGAAAAGTATCAAAGTTGTAAGATCTGACCGAGGTGGTGAGTACTATGGGAAATATGACGAGTCTGGTCAAAATATGGGTGATTTTGCAAAATTTTTACAAAAGTGTGGAATAGTGCCCCAATACACCATGCCAGGGACACCCGAGTAGAATGGTGTTTCTGAAAGACGTAATTGAACTCTAAAAGATATGGTTAGAAGTATGATGAGTAGAACAAATTTGCCTGAATATTTGTGGGGTGAAGCCTTGAAAACAGCTATGTATATTTTGAACAGAGTTTCAAGTAAAGCTGTTGCAAAGATACCTTTTGAATTATGGACAGGACGTAAGCCAAGTATGGCTCACTTTAAAGTTTGGGGATGCCCAGCTGAGGTTAGGATTTATAATCCATTTGAAAAGAAATTAGACCCTAAATCAACTCCTAGCTACTTTATTGGGTATCCGGATAGATCAAAGGGATATAAGTTTTACTATCCAAATCGCGGCACTAGAATTGTGGAGTCCATTACTGCTAAGTTTTTGGAGACGCCGCTAAAGTCTGTTTAACACTTTTCCAAGAAATGGCACCACCAGCTAATGTAAAAATGTAACCTGAGATTGATTTCAAATCATCTTGACATCCAGCAAAATCAGAATCTGAATATCCTACCACCTCAAGATGATTTGTACGCTGGAATGTAAGCATATAACCTTCAGTTTTCTTCAAATATCTCATAACTTTCTTAGTTTCTTTCCAATGTTCTTGTCCTGGATTAGACTGAAATCTGCTAAGGACACTTATTGCGTAGGCTATATCCGGTCTAGTGCAAACTTGAGCATACATCAAGCTCCCCACAGCACTAGCATATGGGATCATATTCATAGACTCCCTTTCCAGCTCATTCCTTGGACATTGAGTTTTGTTAAACTTATCTCCTTTTATGATAGGTACATCACCAGGTGCACAATTCTGCATATTAAACCTTTCTAGAACACGTCGTATATAAGCTTTCTGAGAAAGTCCCAATAAACCACGATTTCTATCACGATGTATTTCAATGCCAAGTACATAGGAAGCTTCTCCAAGATCTTTCATCTCAAAATTAGCAGACAACATTTTCTTTGTCTCATGAAGCAACCTTAAGTTACTGCTAGCAAGCAGAATGTCATCAACATACAGTACAAGGAAAATAAAATTTCTTCCACTGGTTTTAAGATAAATGCATTGATCAATAGTATTTTCAACAAAATCAAGAGATGTCACAACCTCATCAAACTTCAAATACCACTGTTGAGATGCTTTCTTGAGACCATATAAGGATTTGTTTAACTTACACACTAAGTTTTCTTTTCCTTTTACAACAAAGCCTTCAGGTTGTTTCATGGGTTTAACTAATGGTGATGCTTTCCCTAGGTTCTAAAACCCGAAATCCTTGGTCGCATTCATCTCCCCATTCAAACTTCTTTCATCCTTTCAACACTGGGAAGAAAGGCGAACATTTGTCTGTTGTTCGCGTTACAAATCTACTCGGAGCTGCAACCCTTCCGTTAAGCTTTGTACTTATTTTGGCTTCATTGGAGACCTCATTTTAAAAAGGGCTTGGATTTTGTCGTGGTCGCTTCAATACCGCACTAGTTAACCATGTAACATAGGAATTTTCCAGATTTGACTCCAAATGTGCATTTTAATGGACTGAACTTCATCCTAATTCTAGTAATTCATTGGACACTTCCTCCAAATGTTTTAAATGGCTTTTAGCTTAGAAGCTTTTGATGAGCATATCGTTGATATGTACTTCCATCGTTTTCGATGTGTACTTCCATCGTTTTCGCTAACTGGCTTGCAAACATTTTGTTTACAAGCCTTTGGTAAGTTGCCCACATTTTTAGCCCGAACGGCATAACCTTATAATAATATAATACCCAATGTATTACAAAGGTCGTATGTTCATCATCTAGCCCGCACACAGGGATTTGGTTATATTTCAAATAGGCGTCCGTAAAAACTGTTTGGTCAAGAAATTTTATCTCTGGCTTGAAAGTTGTTGATTCCATCTCAAGACCGATCACCATCTACTGTGATAACAGTGCAGCGATATTCTTTTCAAAGAATAATAAAAGTTCTGGTGGATCAAAACATATTGACATCAAATATTTGGTTGTTAGAGACAGAGTCAAAGAAGGGCAAACGAAAATAGAGCATATCAATACAGAGATGATGGTTGCAGATCCCTTGACTAAGGAACTCGCTCCAAAAGTCTTTAAGACGCATGTTACTAATATGGGTATTATGGAAACATTTGATATTTTTGGTTAGTGGGAGTTATTTATGTAAACAACTACGTTTTGGGCTTGATCCCTTGCAGGGTACGTAGGTAACCCATATGTTTTCGGGTACAGCCCCTTCTGACAATAAAATATTTTTCCCCTATCCATGGACTATTTTGAGCATGCATTTGACTTATGTCTTTTATTATAATATTATTGTGATCTTGAGATATGATATGTAAAGACATAAGATGAGTCTCTTTTAGAGACATGTGGCTTCATTTTGATTCGAAGCATTATGATGACCGATATGAGTTAGCACAGTTTTTTGATCACATTTGGTGCTAAATTCATACCACATACTACCACATTGGTTGGAGGATGGGGATCCATGTCGATAAGGATGTTGACATTTGTAGCTGTGGAATGGTCTTACATCTTTTAAATTGGTGTAATAACTTCCATGTTCGGTGTTAATATTCTTATTGGATCGGATCTTGTTACGTAAGGTGTCATCATTGGAGCTATTCTTTTGTGGCCACCTATGTTGTCTAACCCGGGTGTTAAAACTTTGTTATGGCAATCAAATGTTTGCCCAAGTGGGAGAATATTGGAATAATTAATAATTTCATATTGGGCTTCACATTCGATTGCAAAATTTTACTGGTTAGATATATAACTCATAATGATAATTGTGTTTGGGCCAAATTTATTAAGTGATCAATTAGGTCTTTTACACCTTACGGGTTGTAATTAATTTGATGTGGTAATTTAAAGTATGTGGGCCGAAAATAAACCCTAATTAGAATTCTAGTCGTAATGGGGCGGCTCAAGTTATTTCCTATATATAAAGGTTAGGTCCCCTCTCCTCTCCATATGTTTCATTAGCTTGCCCCATTGATAGCTAATACTTGTGTGAGGAGCAAGGAAGGGAAGATTTTGGCTACTATTACAACTATAATTCATATCAACAATGGCTTTCGCAGGTATGAATTCGTTTTATTAATTTATTATGTAGTGATTCTTGATTCTTGGCATGATTACAAATAAATATTAACAGTGAGGTTATCTCATACTTTGCTGGCAGTCACAGTGTGAGGATTCAATTCTCGAGACATGGAATTAGACTTTTTGTAGACGCAGTGTACAAGCAGCTCTTGTTCCCTAGTCTGTTAGGACATATTCCACGATTTACCTCCCTCACAAAGTTTTAGAGGCGAGACAATGAGGGCCCTCAAGGTTGGGGTTCAACCTTTAAATTAGGCTAGTAAATTGTAACACGATTTTCAAGGGATTGGTATCATTACATCTCGGGATATCCTACCCTTGTAATTTTCACGAACTCTTTGGAAAAATAAAATAAAAATACAAGGAATTAAATAGGGGATAATGTAACTATTCGAAAAAAGACAAAAATCCAAAGACTACTTTTAATTTGGATGACAATATTGTTTCTTCTCTAGCGTGAGAATGGCTAAGGTTGTCTGAATAAAATAGAATAACTGATGCAATAATCACCCCACCACAATAAGAACAAGATATAAACAAACAGGAATTCCAACTCTTGAAAATGACACCAAATTTCACAATCTTTTCTATCCTTTACAATAAGATATCATCATCACGTACCCACCTAATCAACAATAATCTAAATATTAAATTATATCCAAACCTAACTAATTAATCATCCAACTTTAGCCTTTTCTTACCCCAACTTTACAACACAGATATCAATGACATTATTCCATCAAGAAACACTGACCATGCTATCTCCACTACTGCTACTAAAGCTAGCTTGTATTGTCTGGAAACCCGACACGTGTCTCGTCGGAGATGGATAATGGTCGGCTGGCGGCGGCGGCGGAGGTGGTGATATGGATAGCTTAAGCGTTAAAGGGAGAGGCTCAGGTGTAGGGATCGTGGTGGTCTTGTTTAGATCTAAATTGGCCATTTTTGAAGATGGGGGAGGTGGAAGATTTGGAATTGGACGGATGGGATTGGTTGAATGTTTCATTCCTAGAGTGAGATTCTCCATTGAATTTTCTCTTGTCATTGGTGCAAGAAAAGCCGACAGGGGGAATTTTTCATTATTTTTGCTTAGATTTTGTTGTGCTACTGTTGTTGGGCGGTATGAATTTTCTTGACGCCTTTGGTCTTCAATTTTCGAACCCAAAACCTGTTAAAATGCAAAAGAACAACCTTAACCAGAAAGAAACATAAAACCCATAAATTATTACCAACAATTAACTTTCACTTCAGATTAAATATAGACAAGCAAATTGCATTGGCCAAGAATTTTTTACTCTATTCAGGAAAACACTACTTTCAAGTTTTGTCCCGTGCAAAGAACCTAGACATTCATAACCTCTTGGCAAAACCAATAAACTATATTCACCACAATTGAAAAATATTACCTTCAAAAAATTTAGAATTAAATTGATTGTGTTTAGAAGTTATTTTCTTATAAAGTTAAAATTTATTTTGAAGAAAGTAAATTTATAAATAAAAAAGTAACTTTAAAAATCGTGTTTGTCAACAAAATAATTAACGGAGTTCACGAATTAAATTACCGTATCAGTGGTAATATCAAAGAGACTAGATCTCCGGCGCCGGCGGTTATGGTTATTCCGACGGAGAAAGTACTTTTGAGCATGGCTTGCAACCTGTGTGGGTGTACGTGTCTTCACAAAGTTTCTTGAAATCCCTCTCCAATCTCCTTTCCCTACTTTCTGCAACCCCATTAGAAATAACCTGTGTTCCTCCTCAGTCCATGGCACTCCTGTTCATTTTTTTCATAATTTAGCAAACAAAAACAATCAATCAGAAACCCGCAATATCTTTAAATTAAGTAAATTAATCCCATATCTTTAAATTTTTAGACAAGAGAGTTTTACAGGGTGTCATCCATTTTAGAAAATTGTGTAAAAGTGTGCTCGTGCACATATGAATACTGTTTTAAGGTAAAAATTCTATGTACTTTAAGGACAAATAAGTAAATAAAAAATACTCATTCAACTTTTAACATAGTACTCTAGACTCAATTTGAGATTAGGCTCATACAAGTAATTAGATCCGTGAATAACTCTTAAAGAAGTAGTTGAATTTTGAGGTTGACTGCATATGTCAAACCACCAACACGTTAACCTTTTAAAGATGAAACCGAGACTCAATACTTACCTCTTTTCCGATCATGACTCCGGCCAGAAGGGTGGACAATATCGTCAGAAGCATAGCCAGCGGCCACATCATTGTTGGACTCATGGGGTTGTTCATACTGAGCCAGGTTATTCATACTAGCACTCTTCCTAAACGATCCTTCCATGACTCTTACACCAAACAGCATGAACCCTTTGCCACCGCTACCGCTGACCTCCAGCGATTTCTGATCATTGTTTCCACCGGACGGCGATGCCGCCTCCATTAGAAGGTATATCAACGAATGCTACAGCTCGTGCAAATTAATGGAGTTTTAGCGCATATAAGGTTTAGAGGAGGAAGTGACACAAAGAAATGCAAATTCTTTAAGAAATGAACACGTACGTTTAATTATAATTGGCTAGTGTTGACGTACTGTGTAGGGTTTTGTGTAGTGCTCAATAAATTTTGTATATTATTGATTGGCTAAGGAAATATTCCCATGCCTCTGAGGAGCACCGCCTGTTGATTTCCCGTCTCTTATGTTAAGAGTCAATGCCATCCACATGGTCATATTGTCCTCTTTGTTATTTTACAAATTGTACAATAAAGAGTTTTAAGGAAAATGAAATTACAATGTTGTTAATGTCATGGATAAAAATTTAACTTCATGAAAAGATAGACTCTATCAAATAAGAGATAAAAAAAAAAAAAAAGGGAAAAACGATCATCTTTATCAATATTACGAGCTAAATTCATGAGTAATGTTATTTAGCTCCATCGGGATTATAATCCAAATTTATGTAGCAATAATATGGCATTAAATAATAAATGAAACTAAAAGAATCTTTATTTCACTTTTCATTTAAATTATCATCTAACACTCATAGATTGAGATTATAATTTCAGTGATACTAAATAGCATTATTCTAAATTTAATCCAAGCAAGGCTTTACCAACCACGATTCCGATTAAGACTTTGCTAAATAAGTCTAAACAATACTTTATTGAATGAGACATATGGCTAATGTTCATGTATAACATTTTACTAGCACTTGAGATACATAACAAATGCTTCCTGTTCAATATTCTCTAATAAGTTGTATACAAAAGCGAGAAGGAAAATTATTTTTTAAGATTATGGTGATTGTCAAATTTTCATAACACCAATTATTTTGTTCAATTGAATTCCATATGTCCCAAGTTTATTCCATTCACAATTTTATTGTGTGAAAATAATCTCGATTAAAAATAAGAACACTTTCTATGAAAGTTCGAATAACCTATATACGAATTATATATAGCAGTCGAACCATAGGATTATTTCTCCTTTGATTTGAGAATATTTAAGCTAACAACAATTAAACAATAATTTCAAGTTCTGTTAGTGGGAATAAAAATAAAGAATTGGATATATCTAAAATATGAAATGGACATGTGAGTGAATCATATTATTTGAGCATATAAAAAAAGGGTGGTGGAGGAAGAGGGTGATTATACACCGTCAAAATGGCATATTCTCCATTTTCCGGACTGCCTTGTCTCTATTATTTTGTCATCCCTTCTTTAGTCACCTTTGGTGGTGGGTTGGATTTGTGAGGATAAGGGGTACTTTGACCCCACTCGACCTTTACTTTGTTTTTAGTCTACCTTTTTAAGTTAGCACACTACTCTGTCGTTTATTTTTCTCCCACGAATTATGGATATTTATTTAACCTTTGAGCAATTTGTTTGCCTTGATATAGAATTAAAACGGCAACAAAAAATCTTATTTTATGAAAATGGGGAGGTGTAACGTGGGACGGGATAAAGTCGAGTAAAATAATCTTATTTAATGGACTTGTTTATTCGACGTCTACCTTTTAAATTAGTGGTGTGAGTTCAGCTCAATGATCGTTATTTTAAACCAGATGAATCAGAAGAAGCAAAGTTATGAAGTTTACTCTAAATTATTGGACTTTAAGTAATTTAGTCATTTGAGCTATTGGATTGCTTCGAGATATAACCTAACATGAATGTGTGTGTATGGATATAGAGAGAGAGAGTCTTTTATTTTAATGTTACTGAAATAATTGTATGTATACTAGTCAAAGAAAGATAGCTAAATAATGCTACCTTCTCTTGTTAACACCTGTTTGGAGGCTAATTTAATAATTAATTAGACCCTAGTGGACAATTTAATTTGGATGTGTACTGTACTATTTAGTTTAAAAATTAATTAAAATTCACAATTAAAGCTCAATGACAAAGACCAGAGAACAAGGCATTCCTTCTTGTTAGACTTTTTTGCATAATGGGACAAAATTAATATCATTACTAGACGAATTTAAAAATAGAAGTCCTCAATTTGGCACATAATTATATAGTTAAATAAATTATCAAATTAATACCATCAATTCTGATCTAGATTATTAAGTACGATTAGAGAAAGTGTCGTACTCATTTTTCCTCTTATCTTAAAAATGAAAAGATTGGCCCATTGAGCATCGCATGAATGTTTCTCGTTTCTTTCTATATTTCTTGAAACTCAAAGATAAGCTTTTCATGTGAAATGTACAAGTCTAGATTACTTGGAAAAGCCTATGTAAGTGTAGAAAATAATCAATGAAATTTTGAATTGTTACCATTTTGTGAAGCTCTACACATTCTCGTTAGTATCATATTAATATATTAAAGATTTAATTTAGAGTTTGTCTTTTGAACGTAGGCATATGAACCACCATATTGGTGGGTGAGTGACTTCAGAGCACTAGTATATGTTGGGTTTTGTCAGGTCATATGATTCTGAAGTTGAATATGAAGATAGGAAGGTCTTTTACAATATTGATTTTCATGAGATAATGTCTTCAACTCGAATTTTAATGAATTTCCTTATATTTTTGGATTCTCATAAATTAAAATGAACAATGCTATAAGTACAAATTTTTTTTTCTACAGATTTTGCACAGAAAGACAATTGTATTCTTGTGATTTGCTGTTGCCAAAAACTGTTTTTCACAATAACAAGTCACAGGAAGACAACTGTTTTCATGTAGAATTCTGTTAAAAAAATATGTACTTGCAGAGTTTTTCAATTAAAATAGAATTCATATACTACAAAATTTTAACAGAATTCTACATTATAGAAAAATCATAACTTTATCGTTTAAAATAAATAATTTCATCACTTTAAAAAATCAAAAAATGAAAAATTGATTCAATCTTAAAAAATGAATATATATTACAGTTAACAAATTGTAGCAAGTGATATCAACAAATTAAAATTTGTTCAATTTAAATTTAAAATCATTTTCTTTTTAGTGCCTACGTACAAAATATGCACTAAATAGTAAAAATATATTATGTTTTAAAACATGTTAATTTCGATAACAGAGTTTTGAAAGCAGATTTGATACCGAATTTTAACAAAAATGAGAATCCAACTCTACTTTATTTCTCTCCCATAAGAATAAGGAAAGAAAACGAGAATCGTCAATTGACTTTATATTATGGGCTCGAAAACTATTCGGGGTCGGGCTAGATTTTTAAGGAGTTCCGTAGGTATATTTATGGAAAAAGTACATAAATATGATGCTATATAAATACAAATTCAAATTTAACGAAAAAAAGGTCCTTGCTCGAGCTTCATTCTTTTAAAAATTCATTTTTTCAAAATTTATTTTCAACAACACATTTTTCAATAATATTAGACACTAACTTAAAACTTTTCCTTAATTTTTAGCCACACATTCTCCATCAATCAGTATCTAAAAATGCATTTTCCCCCTTAAAATGGGGCTCAAACAAGGGCGGTGTTAAATTATAACAATAAAATATATTATACCTTTCTCTCTCTCCTCAATAACTTCCATCTATGACCTAGTTGTGTTTCATTAATTATTATTATTATTATTTTTTTTTTGAGAGCTTGAACGCTAGACTACAAGACATTGATCGTTAAAAAAAGACTGTGTTATCCTTGGGCCACTGATCGAATACTTTTGCCTTACCCACAATCACCACTACGGTCGCTTCCACCATCTCTTTCTCTACCACCTTCTTCTCCCTCTCATTCTAGTGCCACCTCCACTCTCTCCTCTCTTCTCCACTCTTCCTTTGCCCCAGAACACCCACAAAAACCCATCTCCTTCTACTTCAAATTCTCCAATATATGCCAATTTTTTCGACATCAACACCACATTCTTCAACACTATGTACTCAGAAGAAATTTCCACATTTAGCCCACTAGAACATCTTGAAGACTTTGTCCCATCACCCTCCTTTGACGAAGGCTCATTCGAGTCAGAGGACAGGATTGCCAAGGCCTAAAAGGAATTATTCAGTGTTGCGTCTAGCGAAAAGACTTTTCTTGGTAATGACGTGTATGCAATGGATTTTAAAGTGAGGAAAAAAAATTGGATTCGAGTCTAGATCGAAGAAAGAAAAGTGAGAGATGAGTTGTTGAAAAATGGTTGTTTAAAATCAACAATCAATATAGGAATGAAAACACAAGAAAATGGCTACAAAAAAATCACCATGCGGCTGCATGGTGCTTCTAGCCATGCGGTCACATGGCCACATACCAAGGCCAAAGAGCCTCGGTTCGCATGAACAATGCAACCGCATGGATTACCGACCGTTGGAGGTCAGTTTTTCGCCGTTGCAAGTTTAATTTTGGTGACCTTTCATAATTTTTTGGCACCACTTTGTGTGGAATAATGAGACCTATAAATAGGTGATCAACGTTTAAGAAAATATACGATTTTCATTCCAACTCAACAATCAAATGATCAAAATTATTGTGTTCTTAAATCATATTCATCTTCTTATTGTGTTCTTCAAATTTTTGGTGGAAATTACTTTGTACTTTAGTTTTTTCTACTACAAGACTTATTATAATCCTTCAAACCATTTACCAAAAAACCTTCAAGCATCTCGAAAATGTCAGAGAAGGGGCAAATAATGTTTGAGGACAGCAATCCTGCGTTCGAGCTTTTAATATTGTTCTAGACAACATTTGTGATTTCTTCATCTTGCTGCAAATTTTCCTTGTGATTTCCTTGTGTGTCTTCTCTATCATTCCATATTTCACAACAATCTCAAACGTTATTTTCCTGCGATGAAGAGCGAGATTACGATGGCAACCATAAAACTCATGAATCAAGACTTGGTGCGGTTGGATCGTTTTGACGAGACAAACTTCACGCGTTGGCAAGACAAGTTGAAATTCCTATTGACGGTATTGAAGGTATTCTACATTCTTGATCCAGATTGGCGCATTTACCGAAACCAACAAATGGAGAAATCGAAGCGATCAAGGTCGAGAGACAGAAACGACAAGAAGATGAACTGATATGCTGTGTTCACATACTAAATGCATTATCAGACTGTTTATATGACTTATACACAAACACAACTTCTGCAAAATAAATCTGGGTAGCATTGAAGAGTAAGTACAAAGCAGAAGAGGAAGGTACCAAG